AAAAATTCACAAGGCTAAGACTTGGACATACTTTAATTACGCATCAACATTTGGTGGAAAGAAAAGTTGTACCACTATGCATCGGCGTAGCCAGAATGAAATTTAGGGGGGGAGGGGCTCGACCCTATTAAGCTGGCATTTCAGGGTACTATTATATATATATTCAAGGAAAATTTGAACGTTAGGGAGGGGGGGGGGGGGGGGGGCTCGAGTCCCCCCCCTGCCCCTAACTGGCTACGCCCATGCCACTATGTCCTCTTTGTACCAACACAAAAATTTCAATTCAACATCTCCTTGAAGAATGTCCTGCTATAAAAGCCACACAAGAAAGTCTTCACCCTCGCAGAATTCAAACTTACTATTAAATTTTACAAAATCAAATGTATATAGTGTTATAAATATCTTAAGACGCTGTAATATATTTTATACTATTTAATTTAAAATCTTAGGCTGAAAGCCGTTTAGTTGCTAGTGCCTTAGTGTTTTAAGTTTATTTCATAATTTACTTATTAAATAAACTGTAAATAATAATAATAACTATTATTTTTATTTTTATTCTGCCCGCACTGTCACGTTCTTCATCGCCTCCTAGTGCAATATTCAGTGTCTTCAAAGGACCGTCGTTTATTGCTTCATTGGCGTTGCGGTAGTAGTTTTTTTTTTTACATTTCGCCAGGTGCTCACTAAGTTAAAGAAGAAGCAACATCATACGTCGGTTGGAAGAAGCCTTCTGGTGTGGGTTGTGTCCACATAACTCATGTACATAAGTAGCAAAGGCAGCCGCATGAAGAATATTATAAAATAATGGTAAAGGGCATCTTTCGCCGATTGATTGAATATTCTGCTAAGTATTTAACCATGTTATTAACGTCCCTTTGGTTTTGTTGTGTTCTAATATCAAAAGTGACTGTTTCTTCAGACCTCTTACTTCGGTTTTGTAATGCATTCCTCAAAGGATCACAACTGATTTATTTTTCTCGGCATGAGCTGGTCCATTGTTTGCCGACCTGAGTATGTTGTGAGTTCGAAATTGGCAGTTTGTGGTGGTACAGCAGACCAAGTTTTTCCATCTTTGTCAGAATAGTTTCCCGGTTTCACCTGGTTTGCCGTCCTTTTCTCATATTCACTTTCGTCTTCCGGGTCATATTCTGGTGACTGGATTTCCTTAATATCGGAGTCATCTGGAGTTACATCATATTCGTTACCCTCCACAATCTCTTCAGATGCCAAAGGCTCTGTAACTATTTTCCTCGTCTAAATCTTCTAACATCTCGCGAATGCATTCTTGCTGTTCCTCAGGATCCAGTGGATTGAGTCATTCACCATCTTCCATTTTTACTTTTGTAAATTTTTTTCGTTGAGAAACACTGGGCAATAAAAACCCATATCTTTTCAGTCTCCAAGTTTTGCACTGGTTTTCAGCGTTGAACTACATGATGTAACAAGAAACATTACTAGAATTATTTGCATCTACTCGAAAAACCCTTTTCTCACATAAGTTTACATGTTTTGTACCTAAACAATCCTTTACGCATATACATTCAAAACCCACGATGATAAAGTGTGGTCTGAGAAACTCATTATTCATTTCATAAATCTTGTTTTACATACTTAAAATAAACATATTTTGTTAGAAAATAACAATAAATTCTTAGCCAGATTAAAAGAAATGTGTTAAATATTCACATTTTCGTCATTTCCCATACAAAATGTATGTGCATACCCGGGTATGCTACTGTTGACGTACGTATAATTTTCCTGCTGTTAACATGAAGGTTAACCAAAGTTTATCACTTTATCAAACGATTTTGGTGGATAAATGCATAAATTTCACCCAAATTAAACCCTGACAGGTTGCCAGGTGGTCGCTTTTGCTACGAACACATAAAAAACAAATGTACACAATGTACGAGGTAAGAATGAAACGCAACTAGTCATATAAGTTAAATAATAAAAAAAAAATTACGCAGTCATTTACCCTGGTGCGTTCATGTAAGAATGTTGATAAACTGATAAATTTATCCCTTTATCACTTCAGATGACCCCTATTATGTCAAAACAACTGATATCAAATATGGTCTCAACTAATAGCCCAGTTATGCATACTTAGCGTTGCATGAGAGTTGTCGCATAAGAATCTGTTAAATGGGCTTTGCGTGTAAGCGGTTACCGAACGCATAGCACTTAACAGGTAGAATTCTGTAGGGTTTTGATTTTTACGTAAAAATGGAATAGCAGTGCAAGTATGCATAACTGGGCTATAACAGCTGTTCATTTGGTGTCAACTGCGTTTTCATTACATAATAAAAACTGATCAAATGTAGATATCGCAGTGCATACATATCAGGGTTGTTGCGAATATTCGCATTTGCATTCGCAACCGCGGAGCCCCCCATTAATTTTAACATTCGCTTTCGCTTCCGTAATTCGAATATTGAAGGGACCGAAAATTACAGTTATTTTTTTACGGTAGTTAAACTGGGCCAAATATGTTTTATTCCGAAATAAAAGTACTTTCCGGATAATAAACAAACCGCTTATCCAAATTAAACAAGTTTGGTATCCAATGAAGAGGACTTAAATAGCTTTAAAACTGAAATGTCTAAAAGCCACAGATTGAAAAATATTTCAATAAAAAATGTTAATTAATTACCATAGAACAAACATTGTGTCGGGTATGTATTTACATGAATTTCTTTAGTATTAAGTTATAAAAAAATATAAATAGAGGTGGTAACCTTCATTTGTAATTAAATTTAAAAGCTATTTCAGTCCTCTTTCATATGATACCAAATTTGTTTAATTTGGATAAGCGGTTTCTTTATTATCCGAATAGGACGTTTATTTTGGAATAAAAATTATTAGGCCAAATTTAACTCGGAAAAACTAACTGTTATTTTCAGTCCCTGGGATATTGTACAAGTGCACAGACGTATATCTAACCAGTCACAGAAGAAAGCATTAAAAATGAGGCACAAAAACTAAAATCGAAAAAGGCTGATGATGTGACAAATTCCGAAACAACCAAAAGAATGACAATGAAGAATTCTTTCGAAAAAACGGTGTTTAAACAACGATTGTGCCATGATGCTAGATTGTGAAGACGAAAGTCAGGAGGAGCACATCCGACATTTGCAGACCCGATGAAATTCCCAAAAAGTAATTATTGCACCGCAATAAAAATAAATAAATATAACTGAAAGTCCTTTCAACTGGTGCAGTGTCAATCGAAAAGAATTTACAATTTTGCCAATTTCAACTTTTTCAAGTTTGTCGCCTCGAGCGAGTAGTTACATATATAGTGGCGCAGGTTTGATTTACGACACTTCAAGAAGTTTTTATTAAGTACAATCTTCCAATTTTTAAATTCAAGTACTAAAAAACATTCAGTCTTATCATGAGTTTAATTTTTCCCGAACCGGTTCACTTTTGGTTTCCAAGTACATATTTACTATGGGCGGAATACAAATTTTCGGGTGAATTTTTCGGGCAAAACTCAGGATAAGGCAGATTATTACAAAATTTTTAACCTTTCCATTTTTTATTTACCTAAATCACCTAATTTACCCACCTAAATTATTTCTTAAAAATACATGACATCCGCATTCGCATCCGCATCCGCATCCGCGGATGTTAGCTTTTAAACATCCGCATCCGCATCCGCGGATGTCTAAAATTCCACATTCGCAACATCCCTAATACATATGTATAATTGTGTGTATAGGGAAGGAACGTGAAATATGTAAAAATTTCTTTTGTTTCTTCAAAGGAAGAAATACATCGCTACCTAAAGGTGAAAAGGTGCCAAGTCCACTTTTTTTCAAAATTTAGTTTTAGATGCAGAATGACAGATAACGCGAACCTGCATCGATGCGGGTAATTAATATTTTTTTTATGAGAAGCTGTTTTCCATGGCACTGCCTGGGTAACGCAGCAAATTTTCTGGCGCCGATACCTTGAAGCCAGCGCCATAACCGGTATCAACGCATTAAATCAGCGCAATTGCGCCATGCAGTCTCTTTTCGCATTGTGCTTCATCATGCTTCTTTTGGCGCCATTCTGGCTTCTTTTCGCGCCATTCTCTCTTATTTTCCCACCATTCTGTCATCTTTTCGCGCCATTCCCTCTTATTTTCCCGCCATTCTGTCTTCTTTTCGCGCCCTTCTGTCTTATTTTGACAGAACATCATCGGCTAACATCGCGCATCCCTAGTTTGTGCAGCAACGAGAATAGACGGATGGTTATTGAGCGCTCATAAGTGGGACGTTTTGGCTATATATACCAGGTTTTATGAAGTTTTTGAAAGGAAATATTAAGAAAAGATTTTCAACCTGCAGTCCGGTAAAGTAATACACAAAATACATAATTTCTTTACATTGCCAAAGCAATGGATAAGTTGAAAAACATAACCACCGCATCGTGGTTGTGAAAATATCGGCATGCCGTGAAAAAATCTTAAGAAAACCACTCACAGCTGGGAAAAGGAGGTAGCTGAGTATAACATCACACTAGGGGTATTCTCGAAGTCTTGCACGATGCACGGATTGCACGAAATGCAAAAATACTATTCCAAATTTCGAAGAGTACGAGAACACCCCATTGCAAAGTGGTAGCATGCATGGGGAGCAAGCAGCGAAATTATGTATCAAATACAATAACAAGAGACAGCAAAAAAAAATTAAGTGAGCGAGATGAGAGGAATGAGAGAAATATGTAGCAATTCCAACAACAAAACAACTAGCACAGGGTCGCTATTATCTTGCTATGCTATTTTGCAAAATATATACATGGGTTTCGACGTTGCAGCGATAGGAAATGTTGTTTCCCATGAATTTTCTTGTTGTGTGTTTGCAATTTATGCAATCCGTGCAATCCGTGCTACGTGCAATGGCTTTGCAAGATTTGGAGAATACCCCTATTGAGTTTTTAAAAATGCAATGCAAATCGGATATTGTTCAAGCGAGTGTGCTAAGCTCCCAGACGTTTGTGCGAGTAATAGAAGATGGTGTTTTAGAAACGACGAATGTGCTAAAAATGTTGACTTCCTTGCTGCCCAACTCAGGTAAGTTAATGTTCTTGTATTGTTCTTCTTTTGTCAAAAGTGTATAACATTTCTTGTGCATATAACTCCGGCTCCGGTATCCACAGAATTTTCGCACTTAACTCCTTTCGAGTAGGCGGCCTTCGGCCGCGGTTTGGGATTATAGTCCATACTAAGTAAAATTCTCCTTTCTGTGTTGCCGGAGAAGAAGGGCAGACACCTCTTCTTTTGTCAAGGGTATATAAAATGTCCAGTGCAAGCGAAAAAACGCCAGTGAAAATTGTGATTTTGGGCAATTTTTCTAAGAAACCTGAAATATATATAGAATTTTTCTTGAATTTCTTTTTTTGTATGATGCAATTAAAATGTTTCATTATTGGCATGACAAAAACCAATAATCTATGTCCATATTCAGTAATTCGAAAGCTTTATTAGTATAATCCGGTTCAACCTTCCTTAGGGCCAGTTTAATTTTGGATTAAGTAAACTGAGTTTAAATTGAACAGCTGGCTGACATTTGATTGGCTGATCTTAGTTAAAACCAGCCAGATCGGCCGTTTAAAGTTAGTTTAAACCACGGCCGTGCACTGAAATAACTGAAAACTGAAAAACTGAAAATCAGTTTTCTTTAGATTTTCGATCCCGCCACTTACACTAACTTATGCACTTGTATGTATATACTTATTTATTATTAAAATATTTAGTCCGATAGAGTACACCACGATCACCGAAGGAATTGTCAGCATACCATTACTTGGAAGCGAAATCTTTCAAAATCAATTTGGTTTGAAAACGCAACAACATCCCATTATACCGTTATTACAAAATCAATCGGTAAACATAAATGACGTGGCCCACAAAATTGTCGGTATTTTCAATCATCATGATCAGCAGTAGGTAACCTGTAATATTCCTTAATAATATTTTTCATTCAAATTCCTCATTTCTTACAGAAGAAAGGAGCACATTGTTGCGTATTTAAGGCCGATCTTCCTTTATGTAAGCTATCATTAAGCAAAGCAAATCTCGCGGAGTAATTTTAACTCTTCCACAACATCCTTGTTCACAAGCATACTACTAATTGAAGCTATAGAACACTGCCTTACGTTTTATATTCAAATTTTGTTGGCGTTTCAATACAACAAAATAATAATAAAATAATAAAAAATGTCATCTAATAAGAAGAGTGACGTGTGGTTGCACTTCTCGGAGGAGAAGGATAAGAAGGTTAAGTGTAAGTTGTGTGGTCAGCAGTTGTCGGTGTCAAATAAATCGACTTGCGGCCTTATTCGTCACATGAACAGACGACACCAGTTCCAGAGAATCTCTAGACAGGCGCAACCTGTAGAAGAAGTACTTCTTGACATCGAAGGCAGTGAGCTCAACAACAACATCAGTGAAGTCAACAACAACATCAGTGAAGTCAACAACAACACCAGTGCAGTCAACAACCATAACCCCCATCAGCTCAACAATAGCACAGTAACACCGCAGGTCCCTGCTCAGATCCCACCACGGGCATTAAACGCATCGCAGCCACAAGTAACAAACTTTTTATATAAACCTCTTCCAATAAAGAAGCAGCGCGAAATCGATCAACAGGTATTAAAAATGATAGTCCGTGAATATCATCCTTTCAGTGTAGTAGAAGACATAGAATTTAAGAAGTTGGTGTTTCTCCTGAATTCCAATTACAAGCTTCCAAGCCGAAAAACCATTTCTTCCTCATTGATTCCTGCCACATACAACGAAACAGTAGAAATTGTTAAAAAGCGGTTAGAGAGAGCTTATGCCATATGCTTAACTATGGACGGGTGGACTTCTCGTGCTCAAGACAGCTTTTTCAGCGTTACCGCTCATTATGTTGTAGAAAAAGAAAAAAGAACATTTCTTGCGTCGGACTTACTAGCTTGTAGTGCTTATGCGGAAAGGCACACTGGCGAAAACATTACAAAAAAAATGATTGAAATTTTTAATGAGTGGGGAATTTATAACAAAACAAGTAAGAGCAGCGCTGTCTTCGGCTATGCCGAAGGCTTCATACCTTTCATGAACATCTGCAAATTTTACTTTGACAGATTACTGCTTTTGAATACATCTGCATACAACGATAGAGGAGTTACATACTTATATAAAAAATCGCATCTAAACAATCAGAGGCATGGAAGATATACTTTATATGACACCAATCTAAGTGATTTTCACCGCTATGTGATCGGTATGTAAACCGGTAACACAATTTATTGGGTTTAGTTTCGTACATAAAGGAGATATATGGCAAAAACTGGTATCTTAACAATCAGTGCTATAGGAGATAAAGCTTATACAGCATAGATTTTGAGGATTTTCTCAGTAGACTTTGTATTATTATTTATAAAATATCTTACGAAATTTATCGGTTTTAGCTGTTCAAATAAAGGAGTTTTACAGTAAAATCCCATATCTGAACAATCAGATGTATGGAAGATATATGTTGTAGTCATCCGATCCTTGTTATTTTCACTTTAAGTATTCTGTTAATAATGAGTGAAAATGGTGCGAAATTTCATGTTCCTAGCTGCATAAATGGAGGAGTTATGATAAAAGACCTCATATCTGAACAATCAGTTGTATGGGGGCTGCAGGTTATAGTAACCCGATCTTTGTTATTTTCGCTGTAAGTCTTCTTTTGATAATGAGTGAAAACAGCGCGAAATTTCATGGTCCTAGCTACATAAATGGATGAATTATAACGAAAAATCTCATATCTGAACAATCAGTTGTATGGGAGCTATAGGTTATAGTTACCCGATCTTTTTAATTTTCACTGTAAGTTTTCTGTTGATAATTATTGAAAACAGTGCGGAATTTCATGTTCCTAGTTATATAAATGGAGGAGTTATAACGCAAAATTTTATATCTCAACAATCAGTTGTATGGGAGCTATAGGTTATAGTGACCCGATCTTTGTAATTTTCACTGTAAGTATTCTGTTGATAATGGGTGCAAGTATTGCAAAATTTCATGTTCGTAGCTGCATAAATGGAGAAGTTATAATGAAAAATCTCATATCTGAACAATCAGTTGTATGGGAGCTATATGTTATAGTGGTCCGATTCTTCTGGTTCCGACAAATGATTAATACATTATAAAAATACACCCACCTACCAAATTTAATCCGGATATCTCGAAAACTGAGAGACTAGATTGCATACAAACAGACAGACAGACGGACATGGCTAAATCAACTCAGATCGACGTTCTGATCATATAAGTATACATTTTCATGGGTCTATCTCTTTTTGTTCTGGTACTTACAAACATCGGACCAAAGTTATAATACCATATCATGCTCATGAAAAGTATAATTACTGTTGTGGTAACTGACAATGCTGCGAATATGAAAGCAGCGGTGCGCGGGGGAGGCTGGCGCCATTGGGGTTGCTTTGCACATTCCTTAAATCAAGTTGCACAAGCAGGATTAAAGGAAATAGAACCTGTTTTATGTAAAGTTAAATCAATTGTTAGGTTTTTTTTCAAAGAGTAGTCATGCTCATTCAAAACTTAAAGCTACGTTAGAATCAATGCACCAACCAGTTTTAAAGCTCGTCAACGATGTACCTGCATGGTGAAATTCCACTTATGAGATGCTAAAACGATTTTTAGTTCTTAAGGATGCAGTTATTACCACTTTAGCTTTGGTAAAATCGTCTATGCCGGTCAGAGACGAAGAATTACGTACAATTAATCTCTTAACTAGCGAGGATTGGTTAGTAGCAGAGCAATCTATGAAAATTATGGAAATGTTTGAAATTATTACTACTTTAATAAGTGTCGAAAAGCACATTAGTGCATCATCCTTAATATTGTATATAAACAATTGACCAAGCATTTGAAATCATTTAATATTGCGGAACTAACTCCCTCTGTAGAAAAGCTATTAACTAGACTATTAAGTGAACTGAATGAAAGGTTTAAAGATATTGAACAAAATGAATTAATTGCGCAAGCAACAATTTTGGATCCAAGATTCAAAAAATTTGGTTTCATAAACGAAATGGCTTATAATTCGAATATTCAAAAATTATACTCGAGAGTAGCTAACACAGTTGTTCAAAACTGCGAAAATTTTGTTAGGGATGAAAATCCCAATCAATGCAATTCGGTTGTAGGCGGGATAAATAGCGATCGATTAGAATTAATATGGAAGGATTTTGACGCTGAAGTTCCGAAGCACACAAGGCCAGGAAATCAGATAGCATCTGCAATTGTAGAAGTAGATAAATACTTGTCAGAGCCTGTCTTACAGCGGAAAGATTCTTCCGGAAAGCCTAATGATCCACTGGTGTGGTGGCATCAAAGAAACCATATTTATCCCCGATTGTACCAGCTTGTCAAAAAACGACTGTGTATTTCCGCAACATCTGTTCCTTGTGAACGTATATTTTCACACGCTGGGCAACTTGTTAGCGAAAAACGCGAGAGCCTGAAATCAAGTAAAGTATCTCAAATTGTTTTTTTAAACTATAACTTAGGTAACAATGATTTTTAAACAACTTCCTGATCTTTTATCAAACTGAAAATTTTAATTCATGATCTCTGATGTATATGTATAAGCGAAATTAATTGAAAATACACTAAAAAGCATATAAATTCAAAATGAATTTAACCCTCGTCCGTGCGACTAGGTACAATTGTATCTTTTGTGTTTTTAAATTACAATAACTTTTTTTCCAGAAAACTTAGAGGGCTGGATCTTCGTGACATCTCTACATTTTTGTTGCGCCACATGTTCCCTTAATTTAAAACAAAATGGGCCACTATTTTCTGAAATATATTGCCGAGTTAAATTTACACCCACGTCAGAGCGCATAGGTACCCTATTAAGCTGGCATTTCAGGGTACTATTTTATATATATATAAGGAAAATTTGAAAGTTAGGGGGGGCTCGAGCACCCCGTCCCCTACCTGGCTACGGCCAAGTACCATTTCTATTGCACTTCGAAGGAAATGTCTTCTCATCATCATTCGATTTGCACTTCGAGATTCAACTGAAGGCATGCATAGCTGATTGGAGAGATCTTTTAGAAACTTTCGACGTTGACTTTTTCCCTGAAGTCGGGGGTTATGATTTTTGTCGATTATGTAGGATGCTAAACCAGTATTGTGATCGCAAGTAGCAGCAAATATAAACTGAACCAAATAAACATCGCATTATTTATGTTACGGTCAGGGCTGCCAACTATCCTTAGCTATGTGGTCCCATATTAAGGATAAAAAAGTGCTAAAATGTGCCAAATAGAAAAATAAAAGTGCCAAAAACGGTGCCATGCTTTATAACGCTTCCCATTTAGCTAAAAAAAAGAACCACACTTCTAAAACAAAAGTGCAATGCTAAAATAAGGTGAACCAGTTGAATAACCTTTAGAAATTAGAAAATTTTAATTGAGAAAAAGAAGTACACGCAAAGGATTTCACCAAAATATATTGAAATATTGTATTGTACTAGTATGAAAAATATTGAGTACATACATATGTATGTATAGAGGGTACTAATTGTTATGGTGTACTCGTGCATTTTTCGGAGTGCATGTTATGCAGGCTACTGTGTTTCTATTTTTTACTTTTTTTTAAACAATTGTCATTACAAAAAATTTCTAAACATGTTCCAAATAACGTGTAATGATTAAATGGTATCAGTTTTTATAAAAAAATTAAACCCCCAGTAAAAATTCATATCAAAACTATATGAAGGTACAATTGTACCTCTGCGCCCGGTTAGCGTTGTAAGAATATGCGCCCGGACGAGGGTTAATTCATTATCTCTGATGTATATGTATAAGCGAAATTAATTGGAAAATACGCTAAAAAGCATATAAATGCAAAATGAATTTAATTCATGATCTCTGATGTATATGTATAAGCGAAA